GTCCCGCAGCAGTACCCGGGGCTGTTGGCAGGGTGCTGTGGGGTCTTCCAGTGGCTGGGAGATGCGGATGGGATCCCTACGGGGACCCTTTCCCGACTGGAGGCCTGGAGTCACAGCACACCCAGACAGGGTAGTGGGACCCCACTGGTTCTGCACGTCCTCTCCAGCTCCAAGAAATGAGCTCCCCCCTTACTCCCCAGTTCCTCTCCTTCCCAGGACCCCTGGAATTCACTGGAGTGGCTTCTCCACACTTGCCCTCCTGCCTGCCCCTGGCTGTGGGGGCTTGAGAGTTGCTGCTCTCCCCAGCCCCTGCCTGCAGATCTGCAGGAGCTGCCTCCTCCCAGTTCCTCCTGCCCTCCAATCCCACTCTTAGGGCCCCTTAGACTTTGCCCCATGAGGAACGTGGCTGTTGCAAGCGTGTCCTGCCCTAGAGCTGGGCAGAAAAGCCAAAATGCTGGAGTTTGCATTGAATGTGCTCCCAGGTCTCATCCCAAGTCTTGCCTTTAGCTCTGGTGGGTGTTGCTGCATCTGGGCAGGGAGTGGTTGAAGTGCCCCTCACCAGAGGGGATCCCAGCTCTGAGGAAGCCTGACCTGCTCCCACTTTTCAGAGTGTAACATCCCAGTCCTGGGGCACCTTGTGTGCCCCATGCTGGGGCCAGAGCTGTTCCTGTGTACCTGGGTGTTTGATCTGCAGAGGATGGCACATTCCCTGTCCAGTACCTGATTGAATTTCACTTCCATTTCCTGATATTCCTGCAATTTTGGTGGCAGATTCTTTATCTTAGGGACTACACTTGGTGCTAGATTGGAGGATGGGTAGGAGATGGGCAGCTGGGGCTTTTCCCCAGGGAGGTCCCCTTGCACCCCTCCTGTGTCAGAATCCCCTGTCCCTGGGGCTGGGTCCCTTTCCATCGCACTCCTTGGGGACAGGGCAGGGTGGCTGCAGCTGTGGGTGAGTGTGTGCACTGTGGGGACACAGTCCAGGACACCTGAACTGCCCCAGTTCTTGCTGGGGTGGGCAGAGCTGCCTGTGCCCTCACCTCCCCCCTGCTTCCCTCCCTCCACAGCCCAGCACAGAAACTCGTCTTCAACAGAGTGAATGGCAAGAGGCCCCCACTGCTGCTGCAGCAGATCTCAGCCCCTGAGGAATGTTACACGCTGGCCCACGAGGAGAACGTCCGCTTTGTCTATGAAGGTGAGGGCACAGGGTCCCTGGGGCAGCAGCCGGGGGAGCTGGAGCACGTGGAGCCCCTCCCCAGCGCCTGCCCCGGCACCGAGTCCCCGGCCTGGGCACTTCCCTCCTTTGCTCCGCCTCCCGCTCCTGTCCCGCGGCCCCCTGCCCTGGGAGCCGGTCCCAAACCCACCCGGCCTCGTTCCCTCCCCAGCCTGGCAGCAGGTAGAGCAGCAGCTGGACAGCAGCCGGAGCGGGGACAGCGCCTGCGGCCCCGTGCAGTACGTGGAGAAAACCCCCAACCCCGGACTCAAAAGTGAGTGGCAGTGGTGGTGCCCTTTGGGATGCATCAGGCTCGGGGTGCAGGGAGGGGCTGTGGGCTCAGCCTGCCCCTGAACAGGGCTGTAGTGGAAGGAGGAGATGGATTCCAGTGCTGGATGTGCCAGAGGGGCTGGATGGGTCTGTCCTGCTGGTGCTGAGGTCACTCTGGGGGTGCTGGGGGCACAGCTGTCCCCAGGCACTGCGGTGGGGATGTCCCACTGCATCCCTTGCATGTTCCACTGTGTTGCTGACTCCTCTGGGATTCAGGCCCTCTCCTGCCACCGAGGGGTTCGGCATCATGCTGGAGAGAGAGGAGCTTGCTGTGGGGAACCTGCTTCTCCTGGGGCCAGCAGGACCAATTGGGCTTGGGGACAACACTTGTCTGGTGGCACCTGGAGTCAGCAGCCTTTGGGCTCTCACAGCAGCTGAGAGCTCCCCAAGGAAGAGAATGTCCCTGTCGATCCAGTCTGGCCTTTTGGGGACACGGCACAGGGGCGGAGGACACCTGGGGGTGTCACTGCCCAGGCTCCCCAGGGAATGGGCACAGCCCCGGGGCTGCCAGAGCTCCAGGAGAGCTTGGACAGCGCTGCCAGGGATGCCCAGGGTGGGATTGCTGGGGTGTCTGTGCAGGGACAGGGGCTGGGCTGGGTGATTCCTGTGGCTCCCCCTTCCAGCTGAGGATATTCTGTGATTCCTTGGTTATTTTTTCTGGGGTTTGGAAGGAGCACCCAGAGCTCTGTTCCTGCTCCAGCTGTTCTCCTCTCTCCCTCCCCTCTTTCTCAGACTTTGTTCCCATCGACCTGGAGGATTGGTGGGCACAGCAATTTCTGGCCAAAATCGAGAACAGCTCATAAAAGGGAAGAAAAGGTTGCCTTTGGTTCCTTTCTAAGAGAAACGAAGCTGCAAGTACCTGGTGACAGCCCAGCATCAGAGGCGTTTTTGAAGCGTTTTTGAGACGCCCGAGGTGGAGCGAGCCAGCCCCGAGCACCGGACCACAGCCATGCCCGGCCCCGCGCCCTCCCCGTGCCCGGCACAGGAGCAGCGTGCAGCCCCAGCCAGGATTCCTTAAGTGCCAGTTCTCGGCCTGCTGCGGCTCCTGCAGCCTCCAGCTCCAGGGACACTGCGGTGCCACGCTGGGGACAGGGAGCGGCTCCCCCTGCGGCCGCGGGAGGCCAGGGGGTGCTGCAGCAGCACCGCCAGACAATAAAGCGCTGAAACTGCCCGTGGAGCCGCGCCTGTGCCGGGGGGAGCAGGGGAAGCAGGGGCTGCAGCACCGTGGCCCCTGGAGAGGGGATGCTCCCAGCTGACCCGTGGCTCCTCTGGATCCAAGGGCTTGGAGCTCCTCTTCCCCACAGCTGCATCCTTGCCCCGATGCTGCCCCATCTCCCGGGGCTCAGCCAGGGGCTGGTGCTGTCTTAGGTGATGTTGGGGACTGGGGCATATGGGAATCTGCAAGGGGGGCTGAGCACCCTGGCTTTGCTCCAGAGCTGCGCTGCAGCATGTCAGTGGGCAAAGCTGCAGGAATGGCAGTGCCAGGGCCAGCTGCCCACTGCCATGGAGGCCAAAGGGCTCCAGGTCTCCCCCTCACCTGTGGCTGTTTGGGAGAGCTGAGAGAGGATAGTTGTGGCTACCTGAAGTAAAAAGAATGGGGGACCCCAACTTCTGCTTCTACAAAAAACTCCTCAGGTGATGGGCTTTTCAAGCCAGACTGAGCTCTTCTCCTTCTGGTTCGTAGGACACCCCTCTACCCCCATGCCCTTCTCCCCAGGCAGACAGCAGGAGGCCAGCACAGGCTGAACAGAGTCTGACTCGAAAGGAGGCCAGGAAACACCCACTGGAAAACAAAATCATCTTTATTATTCCTATGAGGGGAACAACCACACTGCAGCCAGGGGGGAGTAGAAGCTGGCCAGGAGCTGTGTTGCTTCTCCCACCTGGGAGGCCAGAGCAGTGCCAGCAGCAGCTGTGCCCCTGGCACCTGCCCATGGAGCACTCCTGGTCCTGCTCCCAGCCCCAGGCTGGCACACCTGGCACTGTGGCTGTGACTGAAATCAGGAGCAGCACCACGCACAGCCCACAGTGCCTGCCTCGCTGCCAGGCAGGGTGCTCCAGCCCTGGGACAGGGAATGCTGCTGCCATAACACCTCCTTCATTCAGGCCAGGGTGGCCCCAGAGCGATGGAGGGCTGGGCCCAGGGGATGCCAGCCCTGCGTGGACTCTGCCCCAGCTCTGCCATGGCATCGGGGGCAGGGAGGGGCTGAAGCTGCCTCCGTGTCCCCACCCAGCACCAAGCCTTGCAGGGGCACCAGAGCCAACATGAACAGTTACTGCTGTGCTCAGGGCACTGCCAGCCCACCCTCCCAGCTAAAAGCATCCCCCCCCTTTCCCTTCCCTCCCTGGGACAGTCCCTGCTGCTGGGATTCCCCCTGCATGGTGCCCTGGCAGTGGCTGGCTCTGCTGCCCACCAGGATGCTCCCAGGGTGCAATCCCTCCCTGCCAGCAACTCCACAGGACTCCAAGGTGTCAGAGCAGGCCATGCACCTGCTGGCTGCTGACTAATAAAAGCACACAGCTTTAAGATCCAGGGAAATTCTTAGTAACATGATGCACCATTGTTCTGAACAACAACATTAGGCAAAGGAAAGGAATGGAACAGGAATAAATGAGTCAGTCACAAGGAAAAAAATGAAAACCCAACCCAAAAATATAACCCAACCCCTGACAATGCAATCACTGGGAGGGAATCAGCCCCCCTTGCCATAAATATTAATTATGTGCAATTGTGTGTAGTACTATAGTGCAAATAGCTCTGCATTGATCATGGGGCAGCTCCCAAGGGGCTGCCCCAGGTGACACAGGGACTAGTTAAGGACAGACAAGAATCAACACAGATTTCCAACAAACAAACAAAAAAAACCCCAACCCAGTCACTGGGAAACTCCAAAAAGGAGCTGCCTCCTCCAACTGGGCCCAGGCAAGGCTGGGCAATGCTGGTGCCCAGCAGCATCCTGGAGCCAGGCAGGGGCAGGACAGGGCCTTTACTCCTGCCTGCTGCTGGCACAGCCTGGTCAGGGGCAGAGGGGATGAGGAGGCAGATGCAGGACAGATGTGGTCAGGTTGGAGCTGTGTGGGGTGTAAAGGGGTGAGCTCAGCAGGACATGGGCACAGCGAGGGCATCGCTGGCTTCACGCTGCTCCTGTGGCTGCCCTGCACAGTGTGGGGCAGTGCTGCTGGCAGAGCCCCTGCATGGGCACAGCACTGAGGCCACCAGCATCCCTGGGCACCCTGTGACACTTCATACCCATCCCACAGAGCACAGCCAAGACCCTGCAGCACCTCTCCCTCAACCCACAGCGTCCCCAGGGACCTCTCACCCGTCCCTGCAGTGTCCCTGGGCACCCCTCACTGCCCCCAGCTCTGGCTCCCAGCCCTGCCCATCACGTGTTGTTCTGAGGCTGAGCTCTGGGCACTGCTCCATGGCTACCTCTCACCCAGAGCCAGCTCCTGGCACCACAGCTCCCCCTGCACAGCTGGGGCCAGAGCCAGCTCCTCGAGCCACGCTTGGCAAGCTTTCCCTGGCGCTTAAAGGAGACAGAGCCTCCTCTTTCCATGCCAGGCAGGTGCCAGAGAGGAGCTGAGCTGTCCCCCTCGCTGCACACAAAGTGCTCCCAGGGGCAATCCCAGCACATCCTGCTGCCCCAAGGACGGTTTGGATCTGAGCTATGTGACAGGCTCCTGCTAAACCACGAGCAACCACCAAACAACACAGGGACATGCGGGTGAGGAGCGCGGGGCGCGTCCCGCTGGGTGTGAGTGAGGGCAGGGAGGAGGGAGCACAGGGGATCCTCCTCTGCCATCCCAAATCCAACGCCCCTCTCCACCCATCCAGGCTCTCCCGGGTTTTTGGGTGGAGTTTTTTGCTGTATGGATGAAGAAGGCTGGAGAGTGGCAGTGTCACATGCGCACACACACGCACACCCACGCACCCCGGAGCGCTGGCAGCCAGGAGCTGCCATCCCCTCACCCTCGCTGGGAAGGTTTACATTGATACAGTATTTAAGACACGCCGATATATAAATTACTGTCTCTATATATACTATGTATAGGCTGAGGGCCAGTCCGTGCCGGGGCACCAGGGGCTCATTTCCCTCTGTCCTCTGTGTAGTGCTGGAAGCGAGTGAAGCTCATGAAGACCTGCTCCAGGGAGATCTGGCTCACCGAGTAGTCCTCCAAGCGATATTTCTCTTTGGCTTTCTCCAGGGCCCCAAAGACCTGCAAGGGAGGGCAGGGACAGGAGGCAGCGTGACTCGGGGTGGGAGGACTCCCAGGACCACAGGGGAGCCCCAGGCAGTGACAGGGAACATCCCAGCTGTGGCAGGGAAAGCAGAGAAAGCTTTGTTCTCCAGGGAGACCCAGGAAAATGACACCTTGCCTGGCAGGAGAGTGGGGGGAAGCCAGGAGCATCTGACACCATTTTAAAACATATGCTATGGATATGATTGTTTTACACAATTATATGTGATAAATGCACATATATACATACATATATACAAATACATACATATAGATACATGCATATATGTATTTATATATACACACACACATATCTGGGTTTGAATCCCTGCCCAAGGCTTCTGCTAACACAT